TGTGCATCGGTGATTAAATAATGAGGCATGCAATCAAGGGAAAATAATAAAATGTTGGGTTTTTGCTCGAAAATAACACCTTGATTAAAACTTTCTTCCATCATCATCATGCTAAATTTTGCAGTTAATGGGGTATATCATAGACCAACATCATATCTGTTTTTACGTGTTTCAAGGTGGGGTTCCATTTCATGTTTCTTTGTGCTTCTAGTGTAGAGGAGTTTATATTTCATATATATCAAAAAGTAATCTTTGTATTCCATAAAATAAGTTTCAAATAGATTTTAGTGTATTAGCAGTGTTCTTCAAAGAGTGCGTTAATAGTGCTAACTTTCCAATGTCAATTGATCAAGAAATGGAAGTTAAAAAATTAGTTTGTACTTGTAGTTGCATGCAACTGTGCGGACGGATAACCATTGGGAGATAAATATCAGGAATCATTAACTAAAACTGGTGATAGTTAATCCGTATGGTGTGAAATATCTTGACAAGATCATAAAACAACCAAATTGGATCGTTATCAGGTAGCCACGACCCACCCCTGAGAACAAACTTAGAAAAATATGTAAAAGATATAGCTAATATAGCGACCATATCCACGTCCATAATACAACCATAATGCATATCCACGTCAATGTCTTCCTGATATGCTTCTACGAAACACTTCTCTAGGACTGGACTTAAGAGGGCTACTACACCAACAAACATAAGCATCCGATAATTGCCTATTCTTCTGATTTATTTGTAGGTTTTTATACTATACCAAGGTTGGGGGCTACGAAGAAGTGAATCTTGAGGAGGCGTCATCGACTGTATTGAGGACTCTAGATCTCTGATCGATCATCTTAGTGCAAGGAGCCACACCATCTGTAAACCATTGTAGGATACTACAAAATGGATGAAATTTCATTCAACATAAGTGCATAACAAAAGTAAGTCATTCAAGGGAAATCTTAACAAGTAAACAAATTAATGTTAACATTATTCAGAAAGGAAAGATGCATACTCATTTTGAAAAGAGTATGCCTACCCATTTTTAAAAGAGCATGGCTACTCATTGTCGTAGCCTTGGTGTCATCAGAAAGAGCCTATCTATGTAATAAAACGCTCACTGGAAAACCTCAATTGCAAGAGCAATCAGGTAGCAAGGCTCAAACAAAAGATGTAAAGCAACAAGTGATATATCTGATTGTCTTCCTCTCCATGTTGTGTCTTCTCTTCTTCTCACTTCCCTCTAGGCAGCAACCATCGTGATACCTATTTGCAGTGGCGGAGTTACCTAAAAAATGTTGGCGGGCTGGATAGTGCAAATAGCACCACCAAACTAAAAATCAATGCAATATTGTGGGATAAACTTCATGTAAAACTCCTTTTCGCTCTAGCCCAGGGCGGGCCATGGCCCTTTGAGCCTTGCCATAGCTCCACTGGTGCCTATTTGCTTGTTTTCCCTACCATGTTTTATGAGTGTATGAAGGCTGGTGCAAATAATCCCAATTTACACAATGGGGAATGCCGGTAAAAGATAGATCGATTGGACTCACATAAGCTGGCACATAGTTTACTATGACTAATCACTCTGTTAACTGATGAGAGTGTAAACACATGTTGTTGGCTAGTAGCTAATACTATAGAAATAGAAATATAATTTGGCATTGTAAAGGTGATCCCGCCACTACCTCATGTAGCAAATAAATCATAGGTATATAACGGATTGGAAAATAGAAATCTCACCGAGCAAGACCGGATATGTAGGACCCAGATCTGGTTTTGATGTCAATTATGTTGTGGCCGCTCCCAACCTTGAAGCAATGGTCTATCGTGGAATTCTTCCAGCTGCATATGAACTAAGATTTAGAAATTTGGCATGTAATTACTTCTGCAAGTTGTTGAACACTCAAATTTGATAACATAGTAATTCCACCAAAACAGAATAACTAATGACAAATAGGCAAGAATCGACAACAGCCCCGCAACATACCTCGTCTTCTTTCAAGTGACCCTAGTTGTTCTTTAATTAGTAGAAACACATAACGGCGGCTCAGACATATTCCCTCTGTCCAAACATATGAACATAATTACAGGGTAAGCAAGACTTATACGATCATGGCATAATCCACCATTTTATATGGGGTGTGGTAGTTCAAACGGCATGCCCCGATAATTTTCAAGTGTCAGATTTTATTTAGGGCCTGAAACAACCAGTGTTACGGCTCTAGGGTGCACATGATACAAGCATTAAAAAACAAGGCATTGCACCCTCTAGCATATAATGCAATCGACCTATCAAGCAAATATATCTGGCAAAGGTCAGTGTAATCCAGACCTAGCTTATGCAAACTGCAACCAAGATAAACCTTGATGAGCTTACCCAATGGTGGTCGATACATGACTGTAAAATCAAGAACCACTGAATCTGATTCAAACACAAAAGAACAAAGGAGAGCTTATGATATCTTGCTAGCCACTGCAGCACCACCCCTCCACTGCGACCTCCTCGTCGATTCTGCAGCCGGGAGCCATACTAATGTGAGGAGATGTGGGGGCGCGGGCCGGCGAACAGAGGTTGGGAACCCATGCGGGGAGGCCGCGACGACATCAGCAACACAAAAGCGTTGTAGATGTATGCGGCTCGGTTTAGTCGCAGGGTCGTATGTGGAGGAACTAAGGATGTTGCAGCCTGACATACAATTAGTGAGGCAAACCATTTTAAATGAAACAAACTTAGGGAGGCTGTCATTCTAAAAGAATAGTACAATTAGTTAGTGCAGCTATGAGATTCTCACACTGGATCCACAATGTCCGTTCCATGCCAACAAGCGTCTGCCAACGTTACATATAAGTTTCTCTTATTTATTTTGTGTGTGGAATTTACTTGATAGTATAACTTTGCAGTCGGTATTTTCTATATAAAATATACTCTGGCATTTGAAAAGGTAATCAAAATATTAAGATTGTGAAATGAGCCTTCCAAGGCTCAAAACTGAACCGATAAAATTTGGCATAAGCTAGTGTTCAAATCACTGACTATCAGTGTGCACCGTTCATTGGTACCAGACACTC